AAATTAAAAAACAAAAATATCAAATTTCTTTTTGAAAAGATGGATACCAATCTTGATTGTTCTTCTTAAACAATGTTTGTCTTTTCAAAAGAAACAACTGTTGTTTTCCGGTTGTCCGGAAACGAATGGGTGTCATCTTATAATTAACCGTTCACAAAACATTTTCCCATTTATTTTATTTTTATAAATAATTTTCAATAAAAAAAGAAAGAAAATTTTTTATTAATCCTACGATGAAAATGGGTGACATAAATCGTGATGGGGGTCACGTCAATTTAAAACTTTTTAATAATTTAAGATGTGTTTTTCGGTTTTACCCCCCCCCCCCCCCAAAGTTAAGTTTTCCCCTTACTTTCCAAAATTTTCTTTCCAAAAAAAGAAAAATTATTACACAAAAGTTTTTTTTTTTAATAAATAAAAATAATTAAAACGTAATTATTATTATTTAAAATGGCGCCAGGAAAATTTTTTTTTTTTTTTATTATTATTATTATTATTATTATTATTATTATTATTATTATTGTTTTTATTTTCTCATTAAAAACGTCGAATTACGGAAATATGAGAAAACAAAAAAAATTTAGGAAAAACGGAAGTAAAACGGGAAAGAAAACGAGAAAGAAAAAAAAAAAGTGGAAAATGTGAATGATTGGCAAATACGCGACTTGTTCTCCCGTGTAAAAGATTTATCAACAGCAAGGGTTGCCATAGTAACAAAAAAAAAAAAAGTCCTTCGACCTAAATCCCTTATATTTTTCTTAAATTAGGAATTTTTACTTTTTTTCATTTTGCGGTTGGCCATACTGATAATTTAATTTTTTTTCCCTTTCGCGGTTTGTTGAAAATTTTTTAACACTATTTGATGATGATAATGAACCTCCTTTTTTTATAATAAAATAATTAATAATAATAATGATAATAATAATTAAAGGGAAATGACAAACTCACACGAATAAACATAAATAAATAAATAAATAAATTATATATATAAATTGATACGGAAGTTGAGATGAGATGAAAAGACGGCGATGAACATGTGTTTCATGTCATCATCATCATCATCATCATCGGTGGTTCCTGTTGAACGTATCAGGTTCCCATGTTTTCTCTACGTCTCGCCTTTTTATATTTATTTATTATTTTTCGGTTTTTTTTTTTCACGGACTTTGTGTGTGCGTCATCCGTAACTTCCTTTTTTTTTGTATCTATTTTTTTTTGTTTTCGTTTCATTTAAAATTTATTTGAACGATGTAACAAATAAATTCATTAGTTTTATTAAATAAATAAATAAATAAAAAATTGTTTATAAAAAACGTTCGCGCGAACGTGTAAAAAAAAAAAGGTGTCATCGATAATCATCATCTAAAATTGTTTATTTAAACGTTTTAATTTAAATAAATAAATAAAATTTTATTTACACTCGTAATTATATTTAAATTAGGCTGCCATTTTGAAAGTATTAATATTATTATTTATCATCCCGATAAATTTAATTTAAATAAAAAAAAAAATGAGTTTTAAATAAGAGGAAAAAAAATAATAATAGGCAGGGAAGAAGGAAAACCATTTCAATTCTTTCAAAACAAAATAAAAAAAAAATGTACGCACGCACACACGCACACACGTACACGCACACGCACGCATATTCTCCCACAATTCAAATGACATGAATCAAAATAAAAAAAAAAAAAAATTCCTTCGTTCTTGTCCTCGAATCCTTGTCAATTGTGTATTTGACATATTAATGTGAACTTATTTTTTTTTTTATCGTGGAAGAAGAAAAAGATGAAGAAGAAGAGTGTTGTTGTTGTTTGTTGTTGTTCTTGTCGTCGTTCCTGCTTCTCTTCGAAGGTTTTATTATTATAAAAATAAATTTATTTTATAGTTTTGTAGTAACAAGGAGGAGCGTAAAATTACATACAAAAGGGATTTTTCTTTTTCTTTTTTTTTTTGCAACAATTGTAACCCTTTTTATATAATTCTTGTAATTATATACTACGTACATCAAAATATGTCACAATATTTATTTTTTTAAAAGAATAATAATAATAATAATAATAAATTACCGTTAAACGACGACCTTTTCCATTTTTCCTTTTTATATATTGATTTTTCGATAGTTAAACAAATATAATAAAATAATTGTAAATGATACAAAGATTTAATTTTATTTGTTTAAAAAAGGAAAAAATACAAAATGGCGGACAGTTTATTTACATTGATTAAAATTTTTTATTTAATATAATAATTTTTTAAATCGATTTTTATTATAATTAATAATAAAAAATAGTATCGTGATATAAAAAATGACAAAATAAAATGCCTTTGGAGGAGGAATGAGAAGGAATGGAATGTGCTAGAAATAAGCTATGAAATGAATTCTTTCCATTTTCATTCTCATCATCATCCCTTCCTTCTTCTTCCTCCCTTCCTTGTAGGAAAAAAATAAAATATTTAATTTCACGTTTAAATTCGTTTATGTGTGTGTGTGTGCGTGTGCGTGTGTGGAAAAACACACGCATTTCAATCAATTTAATTTGTTAAAAATGAAGTTAAAATTATTAAGAAAACAAAGGAAAAAAAAAAAAAAATTTTTTTTTTTCTTTCGTCGCATTAACCATTCACAAATTGAATGGCGGAAAACAAAAAAAAAAAAAAAAAAAACAGGGTAAAAATAAAAGATATTATTTCCACCCCAGGTTAGAAAAAATAATGAGTTTCAACCCCAAATTAGTATAAAAAAATCTGAGGTGAATTTTTTTTTGCTTTTATTCCTTTTTTTTTTTGTTTTTTGTTTGGGTTTTAAGAAGGAAAAAAAAAAATTTTTTTTTTTTATATTAACCGGAAAAATCTGAGCTTTTGAATTTTTTTTTTTATATACACACGCAAAAAAGAAGGAAGGAAGGAATGGAGGGAGGGAGGGAGGGAAGAAGGAAAAAAAATATTCATTACGTAATTTAAATTAAAAAATATATAAAATAATAATCAATTTAAAAACAGGAAACGATGGTAAAAAGAAAAAAAAATTGTGGTAGATTAACTTAATGAAAATTTCTAATGAAAATTCCAAGGGGGAGGAGGAGAAAAAAATTTTAAATTTTTTTTTTATTTTCCGTCACGAATTTTATATCCAAAAAAAAATTGAATTGAAAAGCACCGAGAGAAAAAAGAGAGAGAGAGAGACAAAATAATAAATAGTAACGTTATAAACTGGAGAGAAAAGCAAAAAAAAAAATTGTCGTTTAGAAAAGCCAATAAAATTGGCAACACTGTCTTCGTTCCTGTTGTTGTTGTTAATATTTTCTGCTGCGCATTTACTAAAAAAGGTTTTAACTTTAAATTTTGTTTTTTTTTTTTTTTGGTTTTTCGATTCGATCCTTTCAATAAAAAAATTTCTTTTGCTTTATTTAAAAAAAACATTAATTCAATTATTATTATTATTATTATTAATTTTATTTATTTACGTACGCGAATTTCAGGCTCCAAATAATAATGATAATAATGCCTGTTGTAAACGAAGGACGAAAAGGGAGACAAAAAAAGAAAGGAAAGGAAGGAAAGGAAGGAAAAAAAACCTTCCACATATAAAAGGTTTTTATTTTCATTGTATTCTAGAACGTTACGCTGAAAATTAATATTTCATTGAGGGGGGGCGAAGAGGGGGAAGGAGAGGGAGGGTGATTAAAAGGGTCTTTTCACGGCATTTTTGATACAAATTTTTTTTTTTTAATTTAATTTAATTTTTTATCCGCAAGTTAATTAATTTTGATCCAAGAGTTAACAAACAAACCGTTTTTCGAAATTATATAAATAGTGAAAAAAAAAAAAAAATTTACCAACGTGTAAGAAGAAGAATAAAAGAGAGAAAAAAAAAATCGGGGTATAAGAATTTAACTCAGACCCCCGATTTTCGCTCAACAGGGGCTCTAATTGATTTTATTTTATTATTTGATAATCAACTGTTTCCCGGATTACTTGGTAATCTTTAGAGATTACTTAGAGATTTATTGGGATTACTCCTCTCAATTTTCCTAATTCTTTTCTAATTTCTTTTCTACTTTTCCACTCCTGTTTACCCCTTTTTTTTTGTATTTATTTGATTTCTTTCTTTCTTACTGTTTTTTGTTTATTTTCAATTTGAATTCGCAAATAAAGTTGAAAAAAACCGCATTTCCATATATAATAAAATTATTAATTGATTAACACGAACGAACGCTAATAATAAATAATTACGAAAAAAAAACTAAACCAAATAATAATAATAATAATAATAATAATAATAATAATAATAATAATAAAATTATTAATTTTAACACATTTATGTAGGAAACAAAAAAAAATCCCTTTTTCTAAAAGAATTTCTCCCTTCATCTCTTTCTGGACAGCTAATTGATGAATGTTTGACAAAATTAATTTTGAGAAAATTAAAGGGAAATATTCATAGAATGGCATTCGTGGCAAATTACCATTAAAGGCATTTATTGCTCTTTTGGGGCTCTTAACAGGGGCTGGGGGGGAAAGGGAGGGAAATAAAAAAAAACCCCGATCGTTACAAAAATCATTATTATTACTGTAATAAAAAATATGTTTTTTTTTTTTTTTTGTAAATTATTAATTCGTATCGAAACGAAATATTATTATCATTATTATTATTGAGATTGCGCGTATGTCCTTTAACGACGTCACATCCTTTTCCTTTTTTTTTTTTATTTTCATCATTTATTTATAAATTAAATGGGCAATCAATTTCACGTTCGTATGGTACATCTAACATCGTTTTATAAAATTTTTTTCTCTCTCTCTCTCTCTCTCTTGGGACAATACAGTGTTAAATGGAGCCGCCACCAAGGGGATGAAAATATGAGGTTCTGTTTTCTTCTTAATACATTTAACGAAATATTCTAAAGGGAAAACATGTAATAATTTGTTGTTACATTCCCTTGAGATCCGTCTGTGCCCCCCCATTTTTTTTTCACTATTTTTCACTCTTTTTCCTATTATTTTTTATGCTTGTTTTATCAGGCAAATAATTTAAGAGTTTTTAATCGATAACTGACTGACTGACTCATCCTTATAACAAAAAAAAAATGAAAAAAACTTTTTTTGTATATTTAAAAAACGGGAAAATTTTTTTTTTTTTTTTTACAGGTCTAGGACATATAGAGTCGGGAAAAGATTTCTCATCGGAAAGTTTAAATTTTAATAAAAAAAAGAAGAAAAAAAGACGACATAGGTAAATATATATATTTAATAAATTTTATTTATCTATTTATTTACGTTTATGTTGATTGTGTTAACATTTGAAATATTTTTAAATTTTTAAGCAGGACCATATTTACTAGCTACCAATTGGAGGAATTGGAAAAAGCATTTAAAGATGCCCATTATCCAGATGTATATGCAAGAGAAATGCTATCATTAAAAACGGATCTTCCGGAAGATAGAATTCAAGTAAGTTTTTCCTCCATTTTCTTTTTTTTTTTTTCAGGTACCGAAGACTTATAAAAAATAATAATAATTTTTTTTTATGCGATGAAAAACGGTCACAATAAAATTTATTTACTTGGTAATAAATAAAATAAATTCGTCGTGACTCCTCCTCTTTTTTTAACAATAACAAATAAAACTAAATTGCAGGTTTCCGTTAAAACGAATTTTGATTGGTTAAAAAAAATTTAACCTTGAAAAAAAAATAAAAAATTTTGATTGGTTGAAATTTTTTTCCCATTATTTTATAACTTTAAATAACACTACATATTGAAATGATTAAAATGGTTAAACAAGGCCTTTTTAAAATTCTGCTAATTTATAATTATTTTTCTTTTTTACGAGGCAACAACAAATCGACACAGAAAAAAAAAGAGAAAAAAATGCTTGAAATGAATTTTTTTTTTTTTTTTTTAGATATAATTTCAAAGAATTTTCCTTTTGAATGAAAATAAAAAATAAGGTAAAATCTAAATCAATTGCCCGTGAATGGGATTAAATAAAATGACATTTAAGATTTTTTTTTTTTTCTTTAGATTTCTTTAATTATCTCCTATTCACAATATATATACACAAGAATAAAAAGAAAAAAAATGTCTTCCATACAAAAAAAAAATTTTTTTTTTAAATTCCGTTCGAACGTGATTAAAAAACCAAAAAAAAAAATTAATACACTATGCTACCATGGAATATTTAAATGTATAAAAAAAAAAAAAAAATATTAAAAATCATCGTTTTCACGTACATAATAATAATAATAATGAGGTTTAAATATTTTTATTGTCAATCAAGTGTTGTTAATATTATTATCATGAATGTGTGAATGACCATTAGTTGAGAGGTTAACTAGCCATTGTTACCAACCTGATTTTGGACAATAAAAAAAAAACATAATCGTCATATTTTTTAAACGTTTCAACATAGAAAAAAAAAAAATGAAATTTTGATTTGAAAGGAAATAATTATACATAAACATATCGTTATTATTATTATTATTATTAACGAGTAAAATTTTAAATGATTACGAAAAAATATAATAATTAACATAATAAATTAAATTTAACGATGATAATGATAATAATAATAATAAAAGAAAACAAAAAACATTTTTTTAACTTGTGTAAAAAAAAAAAAATCTTATTAAATTCAGCAGACGACGCAAAAAAAAACATTCTTGGAATTTTCTTTTCTTTGATTTTTTTAAGAAAAAAAAACAAAAATTCAATGGAAAATTTTTTTTTTTCTTTTCTTTTCTAAAATGTCAGAATGAAAAAAAAAAAAAAAAAGGTGAACGGGTTTTGGGTTTTTGGTTCCTCAATTCTTCCTTCTTTTCTTTTCTTTCACCACCTCAGGGCTCAGGTTTTGTTATTAATGGTGGTCCAGTTGAAAAAAAAAAAAAATTTTTTTTTTGACAAGATAAACGTTTTGAGTTGGTATATCTCACAAAAACCTTTTTTTTTTTTTTTTTTTTTTTTTTATAAAATGTCGAATGTTGGTGATTCAGCAAATGATTCTGTCAATTTTTGAGTGGCCACTAGAGTTAAATATTTTGTTTCGCCACCTGATGATGAAAAAAAATTTTTTTCTCTTCTCTCTTCTCTCTTTCTTCTTTCTTTATTCGTTTTAATTTTAAAATATTATTATTATTATTATTATTATTATTATTATTATTATTATTATTATTATTATTATTATTATTATTATTATTATTATTATTACGTTTAAATTTTTTCCCCGGGGAATTTCCCATTTTAAATCAAATTTCAACGGATCGTTTTTTCTCGATCTATTTATATAAAACATTTTGTTTTATTTTTGGTTGTTTCTCATCACAAAACATGGCGAATCGAACACAAAGGTATAAAAAAACCTTAAAAAAAAAAAAAAAAGTTTTTTAGTTATTTTGAAGAGGTTTTTAAGGGTTAGACGCCGCCATCAAGAGGATACTCAAAAAGAAAAGAAAGAATAAAAAAAAAAAATTTTTTTTATTACTTTTCGCGTTGAGTAAAACAAATAAAATCTTTCATTATAATATTTTATTACTTATTATCATTATCATCATCATCATTATTATTATTAATTAACTTAAAAACATTATTACGAAATAATATTAAAATTTTCCCGTTTTTTTTTTTTTCAAAAACTTACACATACGTGTTAGAAATTATTCATTATTATTATTATTATTATTATTTTAGTTCAAATATATATAATTTTGTTAAACAAATTATGTTTGAACCATCGAACCGGAATTTAAAAAATAAAAAAAAAAAAAACTAAAAAAAAAAAAAAGGGAGTAGAAAATTGTGTGCGAGAGAAAAACATGAAAAATCATCCCTCCCCCTTTTTTTCTTTTTCATTATCATTATCATTATTATAATTAAATTGACTTTTGTCAAACGTGAATGTCGTAATACATCGTATTTATAATAATTATTATTTTTATAATCAAATTATTAAATTACATTTTTTTAAAACTATAAATTATTATTATTAATGTTATTTTAAATTAAATTTAATTAATTGTGAATGAAAACGTTGGAACCTTTTTTTTTTTTTTTAAATTATAAAAAGGAAAAAAAGGAAAAAAGGAA